GCCACCCGCCTGGCCCTTTTCCCGTCTTTGCATCCGTTCTCTCTTCCCTAGCCTTAGGGGCTGCACGAAGTACACGTTGAAATTTAGACAGATATATACCCCGAAGGAGGTACGATCTAAGACGAAGAGGGCGCGCATCGAGGTTTGGGATATACGTGTTGACTTGCGCGCGAGCAGATCAGAGGGAACAGTCTTAAACTGATTGTTGTTGTTGCTGCTGCTGTTGTTGTTGTTGTTGAACATTATTTATTCTAAAGAATAATTATTGTTGTGCCCCCTGGTGCGCGCCCCCCCTGCGCCGCCTAGGCCGCAGCTACATTTTCATCATTTTCGTGAGGAAGCCTCAGAAAAGAGGGTGTGTACAGGATCCGGTTGTTTTGTTGTAATCCGCTTTCCCTTGCAAAAAACAATAGAAAATGACATTTCTTGTTCTAATATAATCAAATTTCAAGAATCCCTTGCAAAAAATAAGGTAAAGTGGACATTCGCGCGCGCAAGACGAAATCCTTCCAAAACCTTAGTGTTCGCAGCGATTTTAACATAAAAACATCAAAAAACCAATGGTTTTTCAACAAAAAATTGTCAAAATCTCATCCCGCGCGCTCTTGCGGATTCGTAGGAAACCCAACACTTTTTAAACATTTCTGTCAAACGGGCTTTTGCGAGCAACTTTTTCGAACTTCTGCGACAACGGTTGCGCACCTGCCAGGGCCATCATCCCTGTCAAATAATACCATGCGGGACACATTCGTTTTTTCTTCGCGCGCGCACGCCGAAATCTTCAAAAACCATTGGGTTTCTTAAGAATTTTAGCACCGCGCATCATAAAATCATACGAATCGCACCTTAGGTCCTCGAAAAACATCTGTACGAATTTTCAAAATTTCTACCCGCGCGCGCTGTCCGAATCCTAAAAAACCCGCTGGCCCTGAATAGTAGCCAAGGTCGTCCGCATGCCACGAAGTGAAGTGTCCGAACGTCATAGGGCGGGAAGCTGGGTGTGGGTGGTGGCGAAGAGTCGTTTGGAAACTTGGTAGAGCTTGAACCGGCCCCCCCACAAAGTGGGGGTATTGCCCGGCCTCCTTATGAAAACCCTGGCACTGGTGAGAACGGAGTGTCCCCAGTCTTAAATGATTGTTGTTGTTGTTGTTGTTGTTGTTGTCGGTGTTGTTGTTGTTGTTGTTGTTATTGTTGTTGCTGTTGTTGATGAATCTTCACTTCTGAATAATAATCACATTTGATCCCCACCCTCCGGTAACCATTTGCATTTTCAATTAAAGTGCTCCTTCAGGGGCTCGCACTTTATTTTTTACAAGAGGCACTATTGAATTTATCATTATGGTTGTTTTGTTGTTGTTGGTATTTGAGAATTTTCATTTGAAAGAATAACCATTGTTGTTCCCCCCTCCCCGGTAACCATTTCATTTTGTTCAAGTTAAGTGCTTCTCGCGGGGCTCGCACCCTGCTTATGTGCAAGGGGAAGTGAGGTGCTACCAAACTGTGCCCGTGGCCCCTGGTTTACACACCAACAGCGTCTCTCGCCTGATTCTTCCTGACATTTGTTTCCCAAATCGCGCTCTCGCGCGGGACTTCCACAATTTTACAGGAATCGCGCTTTCGCGTGGGACTTCCCCACAATTTATTCACACACCGTGCCTTCGACACTCAGGAATCACGCTCTCGCTGTGGATGTCCCCACGATTTGTTTGGGAATCGCGCTATCGCTCGAGACTTAGACGCACGCTTCAGCAACCCGCCTGATCGACCTGGCCGCCTGGGCCCGCCTTCCGACCCGCCCGTTAGGGTCTACCCGTCCGAACTGCCTGTTTGGCTCTGCCACGTGTTTTCTGTTCCTTGCCCCTGGTCCTGCTATTCTCTCTCGTGCTCCATCCTCCTCCCTCCCCCTTGTCCCTTGCTTCCATCCGTCCTCTTTTCCCCTGCCTTGGTGGCTGCACGAAGCAAGTAATACAGATATACCCCTAAGGTGGTACGGTCGAAGACGAAGAGAGCGGGTATAGAGGCTCTCGCTGTGGATTCCCTGACGATTTATTTGGGAATCGCGCTATGGCTCGATGCTTGCACGCGAGCAGGTCTGAGCGAACAGTCTCAACATGATTGTTGTCGTCTTCGTCGTCGTCGTTGTTGAACTCTCATTTCTGAAGAATACTTATTGTTGATCCCCCCTCCAGTGCACATTGTTTTTCCCAATCAAAGTGTGCCCCTCGACGTTCGCACCTTGGTTTTTGACAGGGGAAGTCTTGACGCTCAAACTGGGCCCCTGGCCCCCCTGGGTACAACAACAACGGCTCCCGCCTGAGACTTCCTCACAATTTAGCCAGGCCCCCCGCTCCCGCACGAGACTTCTTCGCATTTTATTCGAGAATCGTGCTCTCGCTTCGGACTTCCTTGCAGTTTATTCCGGAATCGCTCTCCCGGCGCTCTGGAGTCGCGCTCTCGCTGGAAACTTGCTTGAAATTTACTAAAGAATAGCGCCCTTGCGTCGGAATTCCTTGCAATTTGCCAAAGCGCCGCGCTGCCGACACCCACGCACCCAGGAGTCGCGCCCGTTGTGGCCCCATGTGCATGCCCTTCGTGGCCCCGCTGTCGCCGTTTGTGGCCCCCTCATTGTCCTACGTGGCCCAGTTGCTACCCTCAGTCGCCCCATCGTTGCCTATTGTGGCCCCGCATTATCTGCCCTTTGTGGCCCCCGCTCGTTCGCGCTCTTCGTGGCCCCATAAGCATTCCCTTTGTGTCCCCGCTGTCGCCCTTCATGGCCTACGTCGTGCCCTTCGTGGTCCTGCTGTCGTTCTCTCTCGCTCTCGCTTTCGCTCGTCGTCGCCGTCGTCGTCGTCGTCGCCGTCGCCGTCGCCGTCGACGTCGTCGTCGTCGTCGTGGTCGGTCCCCTGTCCGTCCCTCTTGGGGTCGGGTCGACGGTCCGCGGCCGCCCCGCCGATCAGCGCTGCCGCTGGCCAGGCCGACGGTCCGCGGCCGCCCCGCCGCTTGCCGGGGCCCGGCCTGCAGGGAAGAAAGGTATACCCCCCAAAGAGGGTATCGAGGGTTCGATCGAAGACGACGAGGGCGGGTATCGATGGTTTGGGAAATACGGGTTATTGGACACTCGAGCGGATCAGGGCGAACAGTCTTAAAATGCTTGTTGGTGTTGTTGTTGTTGTTGTTGTTGTTGTTGTTGTTGTTGTTGTTGTTGTTGTTGTTGTTGTTGTTGAATTTTCATTTCTGAAGAATAATGGTTGTTGATCCCCACCAATATTGTTTTTCTGAGTCAAAGTGTGCCCCTCGACGCTCGCACCTGTTTTTTTTGGACAGGGAAAGTCTTGATGCTCAAACTGGGCCTCTGGCCCCCCGGATTGCAATAACAACGGCTCCCGCCTGAGACTCCAAATTTACTCAGGACCCCCGCGCACGCTTGAGAATCCCTTGCAATTTGCTCAGGATCAGTGCTTCCGCTTGTGATCTCCGCAATTTAGTCAGGACCCCCGCTCTCATCTGAGACTTCCTCACATTTTATTCAGGCACGGCGCTCCCGCTTGAGACTTCTTCGTAATTGAGCCAAGATTTCCTTACACTTCAATCAAGACCCCCGCTTCCGCCAGAGAGCCCTTACATGTTATGCAGGAGTCGAGATCTCGCCTGTGACTTCCGTGCAATGTATTAAAACATCGCGTTTTCGACGCTCAGGAAACACGCTGCACCAAGGACGCCATTACAATTTACTTAGGAATCGCGCTCTCGCCATACTCAGGCATCCCGCTTGAACGTCCCACCCGTCCGTCAGGGGTTCGCCCGCCCGTCGTGGGCTCCCTCCCGAGCCTTCCTTCAGGAACGGCGCTCTCGCCTAGGACTTCCTCGAACGTTCACGCTCTTACCTTCCTGCTCCTCCTCCCTCTCCATCCTCCCTCCTCCCTCCTCTCCTCCTTTTTCTCTCCCCGTTCTCTTCCCTCATCCTTATGCCTCTCTGCCCTATCCCCTCCCCCTCCTCTCCCTTCTCCCTTCTCCCTCCCCTTTCCTGCCTCCTCCCTCCCTATTTGTTTTTCTCTCTCTCTCTCTCTTCCCCTCTCTCTGTCTCGGCCTCTCTTATATGCCTTTTTGTTGTTTCTCTCTCTCTCTTTCTCTCTGCCTCTAATCAACCGCCCTCCTCTTCGCTCCTTCTCTCCTAGCGTTTTCCCTCGTTCTTCGTCCCTTCCCCTCTCTTCCTCCCGCTCTCCCTCGTTATCCCCCTCCTTTTTTTTCTCAGGGAGCACACCAATTCCAATGGCGGGCACATGTACGCCCACGAAGGATTGTCCGCCCGTTCAGGCTTGGCCGCCTGTCTAAGCCGGCCGCCCCCCCGCAAAGAGGAATAATCCCCCCAAAGGGGGTGTGATCGATGGGCGGGTATCGAGGGTGTGGGGAACTCGTTTTGAATGACACACGGGCAAATCAGAGCGAACAGTATTATAATGAGAGTTGTTGTTGTTGTTGTTGTTGTTGTTGTTGTTGTTGTTGTCGTTGTTGTGGTTGTTGTTGTTGTTGTGGTTGTTGTGGTTGTTGTTGTTGTTGTTGTTGTTGTAGTTGTTTCCGTCCATCCGTCCTCTTTTCCCTTGTTTTAGGTGCTGCGGCAAACACATGTGGCAGGTAAGGAAGATACACCCCAAATGTGTTGCGATCGAAGAGGAGAAAGGGCGGGCATTCTCGGTTGGATGGCACGCGAGCAGATCAGAACGAACAGTCTTACAAGGGTTGTCGCTATATCTTCCAGGCGAACGATCTTCGATCCGCCTTTGCCCTCTCCCATGAGTCTCCTATTATGATAAGTCGCTCCCCGTGTCGCACCACCAGACGCGTCCGTGGGCCGGGGCGGGCGTTTCGTTTGAGGCTGTTTTGCAGGTCGTCCCGAACCGAAAACATCCGACAGTTAAATGGCGCCCGTGTTGGTGCTGGCAGGTTGAATTCCGTCAGCATCAGCTGCACAAGTCCCACGTACGAGCCCGAACCTGTCACTGATGCGGCCATGCCGATCAAGGCTCGAGGAGAACTGGGTCGAGGCCGCCCGGTCCTGTTCCCGCCAGGGCGTCGCTTCTCGAGCGCACGTCATGCCAGACCACGGGGTGTGGAGCGAGCTGGCAGTCGCAGAGGCAGGCCAGCGCAGCTTCTCCAAGGTTCGGCGGCGAAATCCGAGCCCTGCCCTCGCCGACCAGCGATGCAGGCAATTCGATGGGCGCGGGGGGCAGGGCCCGGAAGTCGTGGAGCATGTGGCGGGCTCCGAGCCCCGCCGTTGCCCCCCATCGATTCGGGAGAATCGCTGGCTGGTGGGGGCAGTGTTCGGATGTAGCCTCCGACAGGCCGACCTGGTCCCGAGAGCGCGCGTGCTCGCGCTGGCTCGGCGGCTGGCCGACCTCGACTTTGAGGTCCCCCTCGCCGAGCTGCAGGCCTCGGGGGCGCCGGCGCCAGTCGCGGCGACCGAGAAGCACGTCGGGCAGGAGTGCTCGCTGGTGGGCCACGTGGTGAGCAGCGGCTGCCTCGAAGGCTCGGCTACAAGCACGCGCCAATCGTGGAAATACAGTATTTTGGGACTCCCAGCTTCCAATCGATTTCAGGCGTCTTCCTGTTTCAAACAGGGGGTATCATTTCCTGTGATGATGTCTGTTGTTGTTTGGGCGGGGCCGCACCCAGTCAATTTCATCCGCCTTCCTGCTTCATGTCTCTGCACACCTCGTCCGACTGGTCGGAAGGAGGCGGTGACCTCTGGTGCGCGGCATTCGGGGAGCTCGCTGGTGGGCCACGTGGTGAGCAGCGGCTGCCTCGGAGGCTCGGCTACACGCACGCGCCGGTCGTGGAAGTTCCGTATCCTCCGACCGGTCGGAAGAAGTGGTGGCTGTTGGTGCGCGGCGTTCGGGGAGCTCGGCGGCGGGCCAATCCGAAGCACTCGGGCCGCCGCTGTCGCATCCCATGCAGCGATCGGCAGGCCGCGCACCAAGGGTAACTCTGGCCTAGAGTTAAGTCGGGCCTGTCCCTAATATTCGACAACAGTCGAAAGCAATCAGGGGGCGTTTTTTTGTTGACATTTCTTTTGTGTAAAAAAACTATCTTCTATTTTTCTGGCAAGATCCCACTGCAGGGCGACAGGCCCGACCTAAGCCTGGAGTCACTCTTGCGTGTGGCCGAGAGGCGCGGACACCGTGCTCGACCTGGGGGCGGGGCGCGGGTGCCTCAGCGAGCGGCTTCAACAGGCTGCGGGGACGCGCGCCGGCTTCCTGCTGATCGACAGGGATCCCCAGAAGAGTCCAGGGACAATAAGAGGCATGCACATACATTTCCGGAGCTGCGCGCGAGTTTCTTGGATCGGCGCTGGACTCCCCCTGGCGGTGCCTCCGGCGCCTCCCCTGGCGCGCTCCGCGCGCCAGGAAGGAGGGGTGCAGCGCCGATCCGAGAAATCCGCGCGGATTTCGACAGTTTCTGTCCGTACCTCCTCTTGTTCCTCCAGAAGAGGGCCCGGTGCAGGGACGCGGCGCTGCGGCGGCGGGGGAGGGCGAGGCGGCTTGTGGCCGACCTGCAGCACGTACGCCTGGACCCAGCGCTCGGCCGCTGCGTGGCGGTGACGAAGCATCTGTGCGGCTGCGCCACGGACTTCGGGCTGCGGTGCCTGCGGGCGCTGGACGAGGACAAGGTCGGAGGCCTAGCGGTTGGCTCCAGCACCGATATCGGCGGTGTGCCTCCACCGAAGGAAGACGATCCCGATCTCGGAGGTTACCACCCACACAGCACTCTAAGATCATCTCCCCCCCGGGTTGAGGCAACCCGTTGTGTTGGTTTGGTGTTGGTGCTGGTGTTGGTGCTCATGTCTTAGCCTCCAACAAGGCGGCGCTGGGCAGAACTGGGCCGCCGACGCCGCTCTTCTTCGCCACCTGCTGCCACCACCGCTGCACCTGGGAGCACTACGTCAACCAGGCCTTCGTGCTGCGGCACGGCCTCTCGGAGGGGGACTTCGCCGATGTGTGCGCGCTCTCGCACTGGGCCACGCTGCAGGCGAGGCCTCCGGAGGAGGCGCCGCGGGGCGAGGCGCGGGAGGGCCTTGACTGGGGGCAGCGGCGCGCACTCGGCCAGCGCTGCAAGCGTTTCCTGGACTCCGGGCGGCTAGAGTGGCTCCGCGGGCGCTACGCCACGGCGGCGCTCGTGCAGTACACCACGCTCTCGGTAGAGAACCGGCTGCTCGTGGCCAGATGACGAGGCTTGTGTTTCGGATGGGCTCCAGGCCATGAGAGTTCCCCTGAGTCACCCGAGACTCGCGGGAGGCGGACTTCACCCCTAGGGTGGATAGTGCCAGGGGTCCTGAACCCGACGACGGGTGGAGAAGCGTGGTGTCAATTCATGGGGGCGCCGCTTTCGGCGGTGTTGCCCTCCTGGGGTGGGGATTGACACGACGTTTTTCCACCCGTCGTCCAGGTTGGGGACCTTCAGCATCATCCTCCCAGAGGGTGAAGACCGTCTCCCACGAGAGTCAGGTAAGCTAGGTAAGCTCTCGCCTGGCTTGGAGCCTACCCAGCTTGCTCGCGCACTCTTCAAGGACACACCGTCCAGCCGCGTGTCTTCGGCGACGACGACCTGGGAGGCCCCTCAGTGCTCAGCATCTCTCAGGGTTGGCCCCGTCCGCCAGCCGAGGACGACAAGTGCCGAGGATGCGCCCTGCATGGCCACAGAAGGCGCCCGGCGTGGCGAGTTGGAGCTTGGCGCCCGACTAGAGCATATGGGCAGCTCAGTCTCGCCGCGGTGCCCTGCCGAGCGCGAGTGCCGCCATCTCCCGGACGCGTTGTGCCCGCGGCCGGCAAAAGACCGAACGACTTGTTCGAGCTTCGGCAGCGGAAAAACTGCATAAACGCACACTTTCGGAGGTCGGCGCGGATTTCTCGGATCTGCATTGGAGCCTCCGTCGGCGCCTCCAGCGTCGCCCCTGGCGCGTTCCGCGCGCCAAGGAGGGTTTGTGCAGTTTTTTTTTCCCCCAGGGCTGCGCCAGCGCATGTGAACGTTTGTTTCAGCATCAGCTGCAGCCAGCGTCAGTGCCGGAGGTCGAGCGGCGTCCGTGCTTCCATGAAGCCTGGTGGCCTGAACTCCCGATTATGGGTCTCAGACGGGCTCGCAGATCACTGCCGTCAGATTCTTCCGTGTGGGGTCCGCACGGCAGCCTCGTTGTCGAGCTCCTGGTATTCCCCGAGGGTTTTCCTCATGGGATTCTCTATAACATATGTCTTGACGACCTTCAGTCTCGGCATTCTGGGTGCAGTGCGCCGTAATTGAAGCAGGTGAATTATCGATAACATGTCTTGGCTGCAGACCGTGGAAGATACCACCACGGCGTGGCTGCCACCAGTTTATTCGTCTGGAGGGGGGAATCTTCTCATCAGCCCCTGTCTCCGAGTCGAGCTGGAGTATTCAGTTTGCGATTTTGTTTGCAGTCGCCGGCTTTCCATGGGGCCGTGCGTACATTCCTTTCCTTGACCTGGGGTTCGGGAAAGGTGGCGGCAGCTTTGCCAACTTTCGTGCAATGTATAGAATAGCTGTGGTCGCTGACCTCTTGTCTCTCGTGCCTATGTGTCCCGTGCCGCTAGCTGTTCGAGCAGCATGCACCGGTTCTGGTGCTCCGCCGACTGCGTGTCTCCTAGCTCCTCTACGCTTTCACATGTCGGTGGCCCGTGTGTCTGGCTGGTCTGCTGACCGTCAGCGCCTTCCTTGGGGCTTTCCCATCGCCCCATTGCTGGGTACCCAGCCTGTCTTGCCTGCTTGCCTTGGCTCCATTCTGCCGCACTGCGTCTGCCATCGACGCAGCGGGAGCCAGGGTCCTGGGCCGGGGCCGGGCACCACCACACAGGGGTTCCTGACTTTGACAGTTGACTTCGGTCAAGCTTGCACGCGTGAGCATTTCGGAACGATCCTCTAGAGCGAGTTGGAGAGTTGAGGTGAAAGCCTTCCTGAAACACCTTGTCGCCCTCAAGTCCCAGATGGTTTGTTGCTGTGCTTGTGTCAACACCGTGCTGCGCCGAGCATGTGCGAAGTCTGTGGGAGGAGGAGAAGGAAGGATTGTAACCGTGGAGTCGGCAGGACAGATTTTTCGCAATAGGGCGCACCGGTCCTCCACATTTGCTTCACCTGGAAGCTTTGCAGTGCGCGTCAATGATGCTTATCGCTTTGTGGCTTGCATTTTGCATGATGTCAGTGAAGCGAACCTCATATACCGAGAGGTGCGAAGCAGACGTTGCCGTCTTTCTCAGTCTGCCCTCCGCCATGTCCTGACTTTTCTGGCGTGCTCTTGCTCGAGGCCATTCGGACAGATCGAGTAATCGTCGCAATTCTCGGTGGGCGCCCAGCAGGAGGGGAGACAGAGGGGGCGGGCCCTCTCAGAGGGGTCTGAAGGCATCCAGCCTTCAGACCCCCATCGCGCCTTCCGAGAAGTGGTCTCCGTCTTCGGAGAAGGCCTCGGACACCTCTCGGCAGGAGGCCAGAGGCCTTCGCAGCCTTCCAGGAAGGCCCGCTCCCTCCTCACTTCCCCCCCTGGGCTCGCCGCCGACGACGGCATCACGACTGAAGGCCTTCCAGAATCTCCAGGCCTTCGCCGAAGCCACAGCCCGCCGCTCACGATGCGGGCTGCCTGCCGAGCAGCCCCGCCGCCTGCTGGGCAGGCCAGCCCCATCTCGTGTTTCCCCTCTCGGCTCGCCGCCGAGACCCGAAACTGCTTCTGACGGCCTGTCGACGGCCATCCCGCCAAGTGGAGACCGCCTCTTTCAAGCAGTGGCGAAGCGTCCTGGCTCGCCCATAGCCCTACCAGACAATGTTCTAAGAACTGTGGTTTCCGCGAAATGTTCTTAGAACATGCCTGGCGGAGTTTGTCCTGTTTTATCACATCGTGTTTATGTTCTAAGAACACGGTTTTTGTTTTTGAAAGATTTCTGGGTTCTAAGACAATTTCGTGGTAGGACTGTAGAAATGCCGGGACGGTCGGTCCCTGCTCAACTCTTTGTCGTTTTTGAATTCGTTGTTTTGCTGATCGGCGCGGAGGCCCTCGCACCCCCTGTTTTTTTTGCGTTTGTTTCGAGCAGGTGGAGTCCCTCCCCTTCAGGACGCACTGTTCCAAACAGTCGCACCCAGCAGAGGTCCAGAGCTAGACCCCCCCCCTTTCCGCCCAATGTCGAAACGCCGAATAACAAATGCTCACCTCCTGCATTCCCGCCTGAGGGACTGCATCGTAAGGGGGGATCGGATCAGGGTGGGATGCATCGGCCCCCAATCGCCCATTCATCGCCCAAGGGGGCCCGCGTACGGTGCGGATTCGCTATCTGGGGCCTATCGCGATCTATTGGCGATGTATCGCCGATTCCAGGTCGCTGCCCCCCCTGAGCTGGTCCCCTGGTGGTTTTCGGGTCATAATGTAGGCCTCTGGCGGCCGTTCGAAAGTATCCGGGCACCCAGGGAACGCTTTCGGCAAGTTGCAGCCGCTGGAAGGCATCCCGATATTGGACCGCCGCCGAGAACCAACGAACGCGCTCGAAACCCTCAAACCTCGAACATCGAGACTTCGAGCCAGTCCCCCCCCCCCCTCCACGCTTGCGCTGCGGCGCTGCGCCAGGGGCGTTGCCCCTGGGATTCTCGTTGTCCGCGGGCCTGCGGCGGCGGCCGAACCGCGCCTCCCGCCCCCGCCCCTGTGCCCCCGGCCCTTGCCTTCGCGGCTTCCCCGGGTCGGAGGTGGAGGGGTCGGCTTCGGGGGCCCCGAGCGGTGCGTGAACTGGGCGGCTCCCGAGCGGCCGGCGGCGGCAGTGCGTGCAGCGGCCGCGTGCCGTCCACGCACGGTTCTAGTGCTGACTGGCAAGCGGCGCTGTGACCACACCGTGGTCCATGCCAGGCCCACGCGATGCGGCCCGGGTCCTCCTCCTCCCGGTCGTGCGCAGAGCGCGGTGTCGCTCGGCATGGGTCGCCCGCCGGTGACGCGTCTTTGGCCGCGAGCCGGTGGGCGAGGCGAAGCTGCTCTCGGGAGTGGGGGGCTCAGCGGCGAAGTGTCATCGGTCGGGGAAAAGTGAGGCTCGGGTTCGCCAGAACTTGGATTTGCCAATGCTTTTTGAAGAGCCCGTCATGGATTTTGACGGTCCAGTTATCGTGGGATGCTTGCAGCGGGAGTTCGCGTCGAATTCCAGACTGGGTCTCGTCATTTTCTTGACGGCCCGTCAGGCCAACCCGAGTCCCTCTAACCCGAGTCTAACGTCTCCCCGACTCGGGGGCCTCTCAGCGGTGTGGTGGCCACACCGCGGATACGCGGTCACCGAACGGCTTTGGGATTCGGGTCTTCCTCCGAGGACGTCTCGGGCGACGCTTGCCAAGGTCCCCAAACCGCACCGCTTTGGGACCCTTTGGAAGGCTCCCGACGGGCGAACTGCGTCGCCTGCAGGGTGATGTCTATGTCTCCGTCGGAAATGGCGCATGCCCGATCTTGTTTAGTACCACCACGATGCTCGCATTCCCCAAGTTGCTCCGCATCGCCAAAAGTCTACAAATGAGTTCTCTCATATTGGACTGATAGTGCGCCTGGTGGCTGCTTGTTTGCTGTACGTCTTGCGCGATCCGATTTTCTGGTGGACGTTCCCGCGATGGCACAGTCGTTGGTGCCCTTTGGCGGGGATCGTTGAGGGCATGACTGACGGGCTTGCAGGGCAGCGACAGGGAGAACTCCCAGCTCTGCGGGCGTGGCCTGGGGAGGGATGGGGCCAGTCTTGTCGCGATTCGCGCCGCCGACGCCGTCTGGGGATGTTTACGAACAGGATTGCTGAGGAATGCTGTGGACCCTTCAGGGTGGGGAAGGGGTGGCGGGGGCAACCACGTGCGTTATCGCGAATACCTGTTAACGGCGGGCATCACTCCTTGTTACATTGTGGGTCCGGACGGCCACGATCTCTGGTACAATATATATATACATATGTACACACACGGCCGTGTTCGATTTCGTTTGAGACGCCCTCACACGTTATTCG